AGCTAAGTGCGTGTCTCTTCGAGGTAGTATTTAACTAGCGCCAAAACAGACCAATTTAAATGCCAATAATAATGAAAATTGAACGCATGGAAAGGGAGGCGAGGGGTAAAGATCAGAACAACATAGTATGTAGTTATCTTAACCCATTAAATACTAGTGTCCCACAATAGGGACGTTTGAAAATTGTCCTCTCTATGTGGCAAAAACACTGCTAACGACGTAAGCGTAATTGCACCCTTGTTTCTTGACTGTATGCCCGAGTGAAATCTAGGAAAAATGTACATAGTATTGATTGACAATTTTTCGGATAGTCTGAAATTCAGATGATCCATGACAGACTGCCAGGGTTGCATTCTCTCTCCTTTCCCGTTCCTCTTGAACATAAAATTTGTTGATGCGGCGTAGATTGACAGGGTTTAATATCGTCTCGCCGAGGTAAAGATACTTCTCTTTGCCGATGATGCCGTCCTTTCGTTCCAGTCTGGACAGGAATTTCCCATGATTTTAGGGGATAGCCAGAGCTATCCCCTAAAATCCTGGGATGGCATAACAATATTTTTGTGGGCGTCTTATCTACTTATGACAAACCTACGAGGGGTATCTTAGTGCACACTGCATTTAGCATAGGATCTTGAATACATTATTTGAATAACGAAAATAGGTTTTTTATGTTGCTTTTCCCCTACTCAATTTGTTTCAGACTGGAATGGAAGACTAGGAATCTTCTACCATGAGCAAAAGATGTTTCAATTCATACAGCAGATCTGCCAAATTCTGTGGAATATCACAAATGCATTAGGAATTATGCATTCCAATCATAAAAAATGTGGAATAAAATATATATTGAATATGTTCTATATGATCCATACTGTGAACAACAGAACAGAATTTGAGCAGAACAGTAAAACTGTATGTAGGGATGTCACTTATGACCATGGGTTATTAACTTCTACAAGATGATAAAGTGATAAAGATTCAGACTAGCTGCAGTTCAAACAAGGTGAAATTAATCCTGAGATACAAAATAAGTAGCGTAAAGGTCTGAATACAGGGAATGGAAGCAAGACAGGAATGATATTCCACTTAATTTCTCCAGTTGAGTTGAAAAATAAAAACAAAAGGACAAGGAAGGAGGAAGAACATGGGAGTACCAAATACAGCACTTTGTATTGCACAAGCACGTCATCATAAGGCTCCATGTTTAAAGGCAAAGCAAGAAAGCAGAACAGTAATTACAATGAGTTTCTCATAAAGCTGATAGGAAAAAACAGGATGAAGAGGGAGAAGCATAGAGAGATATTAAGTACTTCTGCAGACTACTCAACAAAGGCAATTTCATCATCAGGCCACTGTGTGACCAATAGCTTTTGAGACAGAGGGAATAATCTGGAGTTCCAGGTACAAGGATCCACTCTCAAACCTTCACTGAATGGTGGCCATTGCTTCCATAATAGAACTGCAATCTGGAACAAAAATTTTTTAAAGGAACCAAGCAAAGATGGTATCCACACAAGCATGAGTGCGCTTACAGATTTGTTGCTGTATTCAAAGTGGCACTATCTTGTCATCATCCTTCAGCTTCCATCCCTTCAGCCTGAAACATGAGTTTTTCAATAAATGATGATGCAGGCACTGCATCAAAAAGCATTTCTGTTCTATAGTGGTTGGGGCAAGGCTGGAATAGTGGTGTGATTCAATTCATTATATGGGTCTCATTAGCAAGATATAAACTAAAAACCAGTGACAGAGTGTCTTTTGTTGCATGCTGTACTTGACTGTCTAATGCCATGCACCAATCAGTCACATTGAACCTATTACAGAAGCAGGCTTCTCCCCAACAGGAAAGCATGAAGAAAAAAGAGAAAGCTAAGGACACATCTGACACACTGCTGTCAACAAAGCCACAATTCTGTTATGTCTGTCATTCTCATTGGGACAAAAATGCTGTTTTATCAACCTTCAGTCTCAGTGTTTTGGTACCTTGCAGCCATGGATAATGAATGACAAATTCATTATCAAGCTTAGATAGGATAAAATAGAGGGGAGATTTGAGAAGTATTCATATTCTAATAATGACAGTAGTCTTCAGCACATGTATGCTGTGAATCCTGAAACAGGAGATGGTTGAGTCCAAGGTCAAGGAGTACATGTACACTTTTCATTTGAAAAATTGTAGTTCCCATGTGGAACACAGAATGGCTCATGAATTAATATAGGCAACATCAGACTTCTTCAAATAACACATCAAGGTACCAAATCATAGTTATCACATCATCCTGTCTAAAAAAAAAAAAAAGAGTCTAGTAGAAACTTCACAAATACATAGAGGCAACTTCTGATTGCTAGGGGACATCTATGGAACCAAGTGAATATACAGGGTGTCCATAAAAAAACTTACACTTTTGAAGTTAGATACCTCTGGAATGGAAAGGCATAGGACAGTGAAATTTTAGGGGGATACTCAGGGGGTCATAGGATTTTATTTGAGACTTTTGCAAACATTTTTTTAATTTTATTTTTCCCCCATATTTGCACTCTTGGCAGTATTGAACCGCTGCTGAAAGTATGTAATCATTTTTGGCCATAGATAGAAAAGTCATGACTTTGTCTAAGAAGCAGAGAGGCGAACTAATAAAGATTTTCTACACCAACAAGTGTAATGCTGTTGTTGCCATACGAAAATACTGCACAGCACACAACCCGCGTTTGGGGCCCTGCTCAAGACAAGCTTCTGATGAATTTTTGGTCAATAAGTTCGAGGAGACAAACGAGCTATGGTTGCAACAAGCTGCATGGAGGCAGGCTGTGAACCCTTGTAGTTGTTGCTGAAATCAGAGGTGCGATTGATGAAAAGACTACCACAAGTGCACATGGAACAAGCAGCAGTCGTGCCGTTGCCTGTCTTCTGGATCTTCCCCCATTCAACCATGCACAAGCTTCTAAGGCACATTCTACAAATGTTTCTGCATGAGCTGAAATGTGTCCATGAATGTGTCCAAACATTTATTCGTTCCATGTGCACTTGTGGTAGGCTCTTTGTCAATTGCACCTCTGATTTCAGTGACAACATCTACAGGGGTTCACAGCCTGCCTCCATGCAGCTTATTGCAAACACAGCTTGTTTGTCTCCTCAAACTTATTGACTAAATTCATTAGAGCTTGTCTTGAGCAGAGCCCCAAATGCGGGTAGTATGCTGTGCGGTATTTTTGTAAGGCAACAACAGCATTACACTTGTTGGTGTAGAAAATCTTTATTAGTTCACCTCTCTGCTTCTTAGGCAAAGTCATGACTTTTCTATCTATGACCAAAAATTATTACATACCTTCAGCAACATGGAAGCCACATACAAAGAGTTGAAACAAGACTATAGATAAAGAAATGAACCACACCACGTTTCCAGGCTCAACCATTTCCTCTTGAGGTCAAATTTCTTGAAGTGTCTATTTAATATATTGGATTTGAATCAAAGCTTGAATACCTCGACCTAAAAGCTACATGTTGAAAAGTGAAATCAAAATAGCAGGAAGCATGCAAAAAGGATAAGATAGACAGAGATGGGAGAAAGAGTCCACCTAGACTAGTTAGCAATAAATACAAATAATGAAGAAAAAACTATTAAAAAAATTGGCAGACATCTGGATTTTGGCTTGAGATCCCAAAAACACACTACTGTATTTAAAGTGGGCTCAACAATGATAACATTTCAAGTCAACATATGTCCCACAAGTGTTCACCTCTCATATAGTACTATGAGGTACATGGAAAACTACTGTTGTCTTGTCCCACAGAAGACCAACAAGGATGATGGCTATAGCTGTCTTGTCAGCCAATGTGTTAAACAAAAACTGAAAAATCTTAAAATTCACTTATAATATATAACAGAAATAGTATTCACAAAATAAATCCATCTTTGCATAGAATTACCTCACTCCCACAAAATCACATTATCTTCTTTAGTGCTCTAAGTTTCATGTAAAGTAACAGTTACATTCAGATGTCAGTTTAACTGGGGTGACCACCTTTTGGCGTTGAATTTTCCACTCTAGTACCATGCTCTCCGCCTTTAGTCATCACTGCATTTTACTTACAAAATCCTGAGTGGATGCCAAAAGGCATATGCATTCCCGGCATATTTAGAAATATTACACTAATGAGCCAGAATAAAAATTCCAGAAAAAAAAAAATCTATCTGGTATGTAGCAATAACCTCCCTGATGAAGGGGTTAATGTAATACCATCCGGAATCACAGTCATTGAAGCACCATCAATACACCATAACCTGTTTTCTTTGCTTCTCTTCCAATTGCTGGAGACCTGAAAATAGCCTTACCCATCTTAACACGTTGACGACCAGCCTATTTTTGCTTGTCCGCTGCGTGGGACCACGCGCATTTTTTTGTCAAAAAATGCGTCCTGCCATCAGGACGCATGGTCCCAGAAAACATTTTTTTTGCCGAGTTTTTTTAAAATGTTGAATTTTTTGGAATTTTTATCAGTAATTACGAAATCATAATCTTCTGGAACGTTCTCAACAGTTCCAGAGGGTATTCATTGAAAAAAAATCTGCATCCTGGCATCAGGACGCATTGTCGCCAACGTGTTAAAATCTACAGTTTGGTCTAATTTTGCACTTCATGGCATACCTGGCAGGAAGCAGCATGGAGATTGCTTTGTCACTGCAACTTTCAGCATCTCAACTTAAAAAAAATGTTTGCATTTAAAGCATTGGGTGAAACCTATTAATCTCAGTTTAATCTCAGCTGAAATCTTTAGTTTTTATTTGTGATGTCACATGCAGATAAACACCAAGTTTGGAACATATCAGATGGAGATTTCTAAAGATGTAAATTGGCACTTTTTTCTTAAATATGTATTTTGCCTTCCTGTATAGCAATTTAAAATAGAAACAGGAATAGTCTGGAGGTAGCACATACTTGAAGCAACAAGCAAATTCTACTCCCCATTTGAGAAATAGTATTTGACAAATAATCAAATATGCTCATGAGCCCATTATTGTTGATAAATGGGTTCTGGAGAGGATGCTGCTCACATTAATGTGACTCTCATCAAAGTCAAAGGCTCCTTCCACACTCAGGTAGATGTATCCATCTTTTTCCTCCTCCTTCTCTTCACCTTTCAAACCTGCTTTTTCCATTCCAACATCATTTTGCTTCTTTTCTTGTTCAGCTCCTTCTTTTCCCTCTGCATCATCTATGACTGTACGGAACTCCCGCCCTAGATATAGTTTCAACATCTTTAGTAGTTCCAGTAGGCTATGATTGAAGCTACTGATTAGCAAATTCAAACTGGCTAGTTTCTAAGTCCTGTATATTCTTCAAACTCATCTGCTTCATTTAAAACAGAAAATCAACCTGAACATTCTGAGAAAAATCTTCAAACATACAGAAGTCCAGGGCTTCACTGTGGAACTTCACAATCGATTCCACTGTCTTTACAGTGAACACTGGCTGGAACAACTCATTTTTTGGAAGCCTGAAGGAGTGGCAACCCTGGCTAAGCTGTTTCTGCAGACTTGATGCTTCAAAGGGGCTTGAGTCAGCAGTGGGATACTGATACAAAATGAGCTGTGGAGCATTTATAAGCTCTGGTTGAGTAGTATCCATACAGAAAGTATCTGCTGTAGTGGTTACTGTGGAGTCAACACCTGGAGCAGCAGTCAGCATAACTGAAAGATAAAAAAATGACATTTTCAGTCATGTAAAGTCATGATAGTGAAGAGATCAATGACCATAAGCCAGCAACTATGATGGGAGTATAGGATTGATTCAAGTAATACTGATCACCAAGAGCATATACAGCAGGGGTTCTCAAACTGGGGGGCCCGAGGGGGTCCCAAGGGGAGTATGACAAGTCATGTGAGTTTTTTTTTATCCACTACAATCATCAATTTAAAAAATTATGGAATATTTTTATTTGTATATCTATAATTTTACTAGAAAAAGGTCACATTCCTTCAGGTCTTTGTCTTTCTCCTGGAGTACAAGACTAAATGAAAGCAATTCCAGGCAGATTCGATTCCTTTTCTCAAGGGGTGTACATTTCCATCAGCGATTTCCTACGATTCAAATGAAGATGACAAATGAATCGTGCATCCCTGTGGGCTGTAATTTGAATGCTCGATGAATGTAGTGTCCGTGCACTTGTATGCCTCTCAGAGAGAAAGGAGGTGTGACATCAAGCAAGGGTCACTAGGGGGGTGCGAAACCAAGCGAAGGTCAGCAAAAAGGGGGAGAAGTGTAAAAAGTGAAGGGGGTGCAGCATAAAAAGTTTGAGAACCGCTGATATACAGGGATGTTTAAAGTCAGGAACCCTACTGGGGATGCCATGGCAGTTAGATCCATGGATGGATGTTAAGAGCTGTAACTTCAGGGAGACATGCACAGACGATGAGGACAAATTCACATGGTTTGGGATGAGTCATGCCATTGGGGGCTTTGCAACAACACTCATTCAAAACAGCTACCACCACCATCAATAAGGGCCTCTGTTTCAGACATGATGTTTACAACAGATGTCAAGACCATCTCTTAGGGTAGGGGTGTCAAACTCAAATTGGTTGGAGGGCTGCATTCCTTACCCCGCAGATGCCTGCAAGCTGCACCCATAATTTTTCACCAAAATTTCTGCTAAAAGTCAATTCAAGTGGAAATTTCAAGAATAGATGACAGGCTGGATGAACCACCTCAGTGGGCCATATGTTTGATACCCCTGTCTTAGGGTATTGACAGCACTGCTGAGTGGATTGCATCCTTCAGTTGGGGAAAAGGAGAGGGACTTTCTTCTTATGCAAAGTCTTCATGTACTGTCACAAGATGTCTGCAGGTGTCAAATCTAGGGACAAGGCTGGCTGTGTATGGCCAGCCTTGTCTGAGCCTACTCAGAACTGTCCTCTCCATGGGTGCAAGACCACATTTATCCCATATTGGACAGCTGAGTGAATCAACCACTGACCAAAAGCCTGGGAGAAGCTAAGAGCAGGAGAAGAACCTGCTTATATCCCCAATTGACCTCCTGGCTTTTAGACCATCTTTTTAATTTACAACAGGCTTTTTCATCAACAAGAATACAAAATTATCTAAAAAAAATATAAATATGACACAAATTAAGATCTTCATTACACTTGTGATTCCTCTGAATGCAATCTAACAAACTAGCATGATATCCACTCATATGAGAGAATAAGAAAGCTAGTTAACTTTTTAATTAAGAAACACTTAAAAAACTTCCATTAATTTGCCTTTGTTTAAGGAAACTTAGGGAGCCACAAGCAACAATTACTTTCACAGTAGCCATTTCTCTATAAAAAGTTAGATAGAAGATAATGGATGAACTGGGCTTGACTCAATTCTAGCAATAAATGACTCAATCCTCAAGTGCCATGGCACTTCATAAGTACAAAATGTTAGCTGAACCATGCTTGCTATCATTAGTGTCTGCTGGGTATTTTGTCACATTTCCTATTTCCAGTCTAAAATTAAAGGGAATTTAGGGAAAAGCTGGGATCAGAACACCTCACAAGAGGTAAAGATTTTAAAAACGATTCAAATGAGCACCTTTAGCCTTTCTGCCATTTCTCATTTTGCTATGATTTAAAGTTCTACATCCATCATCACCACCTTCAGACTGCAGTCAATTGGCTTACAATCTTATCATCACAAAAATAGTGAAACATGGTGACAATATCCAAGAGGCACGACAGGGAAGCTGGAAGCTGCTTGGAGCACAAAGGCACTAAAAATTGACTGCAGTCAGCATAATCTAATGACATCAGGAAATGGGAAGGAACCTGAGGATATACATGACAGAGGGGATGTTGGAGGTGGAAGTATGAAGGACTGGGAAGAATATTGAGGATCATGGGGAGGTATCAGCATGGGCAGAGGACCAGATGAATGATGACTGCGGCTCCTAGGCTGAAAATCATCATATAGCATCCAAAGTCCAGAAGATCTCTTCTCAAAACATGTTGTGAGCATATCAGCCTATGGCTGATATGTTCACAACAGACTTTAAAAATTACATTAAAATACATTCTGATAAAGCATGGCTACTGTTTTTCACTCAAGTCAGACACCTATTCATGCATGGGAAGTGACCTATTGCAAGGGCATCTGCAAATGGAAAATTTTCTGACTCAAGAGGAAAATAGTGAAATACTCTAATTTTTTATGCAATCTATTAATCTAATGAATTGGCAGCCCTAATAGACCTTCATGATGGTTTTCTGCAGGCAAACTTCTTGTGTATAAGAAACTGAATCACTGACCTATGAAAATAATGTCTCACCCTGGCAGTGGATGGGGACATTTGGACTCCAACAGAAGCCAGTAGACGATCCATGACATCACGCTGTCGAGCTTTGGGAGTCAATGGCTCTTCTTCACCATTCTCATCCAAGTGCCAGATTGAGTCTCTAGCTTCAAGGAGGCTAATAATCCCTTGGGGCTCCAAACCCAGATCACGAAGGGCTTTCCTAAGCCGAGCTTCTCTTGGATTGTAAACATATCCTGAAAATACAATGAGAGTGCTATTGCCAATCAATCTCTCCATTCAGATACAAAGTCACCAATGAAATGTTGGAATTGCAAAATCACCTGGATATTTTTGCTTGTGGTCTTCTTCAGCCACATGAGACAGAGCGTAGTATTTTCTTTTCTCCTCTGCATCCAGGGCCTTCCACACCTGACCCAGGCGGACACTTATGTCCTTATTAGATTCCTGATTGAACTGTTGAGCTAGTTTAGGCCTCCACTCTTTAGCAAAAACCATGAATGCATTTGGTGGTCGAGGAATAGCTGAATGCTGATACAGGCTCGCTAAAAATTCTTCTCTGTATGCTTCCATGAACCTGAGGTCAGTCCTGGTGAGAATGCTTGGACTGGAAGGGCAAGGCCTGCCATAACCTTCACTGCCAAACATATTTAAATCAAATTCTGACAGTGTAGAAGACTGCTCCTGCTCATCAGGATCCAAACAATCAAGAGACTCAAAATTCAATGTCACAGTGGCATAAGACCTATCATCTGGGTCTGTGATTCTGCTCTCCACTTCAACAGTTGTCATTGCATTCCCTTCCATGCCTGTTTCAGGAGGGAACAATTTCATATAAACTTACAGATCAGCAGACAGTCATAGGTAGGCTAAACTATACCTACTCTTCCCTTTCAACTGAGGTATCTGAACTCACTGTAATGTTGCACAGGTTGCAATTCAGTAAAATCAGAGGGGCAAGAAGGATCATCAGGTGTATTTATGTCATACACTGGAGTCACTAATGGGATCCCATCCTGGTGGTAATCTCCAGCACGTCCTCCAAAGTATGGTTCCAAGCCCATGTTAGGTTCCATCTAAACAAATCCTAGAGTTAATGAGTCCTAACTGACAAATTCTCTCAATAAATGTAAGCAAAAATAAAAATATAATGGTTATATCCAAGGCTGCCCTGGATTCAGTTATATGAATAGCAGCTATCACTGCAACATAGCTACTATTCCTTTCATATCCCTACTGCTTGTTTCTACTTTGAAAGAATGAGGTGACAGCCCAATGGCTCATAACTTGGATGTCAATGCCAAATATTATTAGTTCAATCCCTGCTTTTGCTTCAAATCCCTTGCTTCCATTTTCATTCACTTCATCTTAGTTTTGAGCAGTTGGGACACCCAATGGTTAGGTGCCATCTAAAAAAGCCAGGCATGTTGGGTTTTTTCTGGATACAAAAAAGGGGGTGTGCTGCCTTGGATATGGCCAGTAGCTTCCAAGTACAGGCAGTATAGGCATGATACTAGGGTGGTCAATATCACCCTCAAGGGAAGTAATTCAAACCACTTGGGACATCTTTCATAACCATATTACTTGGTTATTAGGGTGGGTTGATAATGGTTCCAAGAGGAATATCTTTGAACATCAGCCTAGTACTGGCCATAATCCTACCCGACAATATAATTTTTTTTTTTTTTGATACCTCCCTGAACCAAGGAAGCAAAAGTCACGAAACTGCCACATATCACAGTTCCATAAGTAACTCAATATTCACCCAAAGATTTGCTTACAATTGAAACATCAAGAAATTCGTTTAAATGACGGCCTCCCACGTTTAACTCCTCCAACCCAGCCTCAAAATGATCCAAATCCCACGGAACTCGGATCATTGCGTGACCACATTGGATACCTAACGAACGAGACGAAACGATAGGCCTATGAATGATTCATTAGATTGCTTGAAAACGGAATTCAGTAGGCTGTGGGAGTGTTTCGGATCTCGGTTAGAAGATTGCGAGGGCTGACGGTAGCGAGGAAGCGGAGGTATTAACCTCTGAGTGCCCGGAATCTTCCTCCCTCCTTTCCGCGCGAGGATCAAACAACACTACAGTAGTCTCCCGCTTTACACGGGGGATGCGTACAGTACATATCGTTGTTGGGCTCGAAGAGGGTTAAAGACGGTTTTGCAAGGCAAGGAAACTCATGAGATTTGCATCCCTATGAAATCCTAGAGGAGGGCAGGGGAATACGGTAAGGCCGTATTCATGGGGTTCAAACCCCCCCCCCCCCCGAAATATCTTCCTTAAATGTTTGCCATACTGCTATTCGTCTGTGTAAACGGTGCAGTACTTGGTCCTTTCTATATTTAATAGCTTGTGACTTATTAAATACTGCAACTTACAGGAAAATCCAGATATGTCACAAAGATATACAATGACAAGTATTAAAAAATAGCCACAGCGCGTACGCCAGACCTCAACCCCCCACGAAATGAAATCCTAGATACGGGCCTGGGGGGGGGGGGGGGGGGGGGGGCCCCCCCCNCCTAAAGACATCCCTAAGATGTCCCTAAGACATCTTCCTCAAGATATCGAAAAACGTTCGACTGAAGATATCTTCAAGATATCCCCTCCAGGATATCCAGAAGCATTCGACTAAGGATGTCTTAAAGATATCCCGAAAGGGATATCTCTAAGATATCGACTGAAGATGTCTAAAAGACGTCCCGAAGACATCCCTTGCGAGATGTCCGAAACCGTCCGAAAGGAGATGTCTTCAGGATATCCTATAAGGACATGGGGACAAGTCGTCCAGTTAGGGACATCCCTGGGATATCCTTGTGCTGTGTGGGTAGTGAGTGGGGTGTTTTAAGTTGATATCTTCGCGATGTTCAAAACCATCCATCCAATAATAAATATATATATATTGGGCGCCCAGGGCCAATCCACGAGGTTTCTTTTTCTTTTCATTAAAAAATAAACTTTTTAGCCTTCTCTCACACTCCTCATTTTGTCATTTTCTTATCCCTCACCCCATTTGATTTGCTACTAATGTTCATGGTACAGCTTCGGTGTGTCCTGTTCAGTCCTGTATGTTCTGAGTGTTCTGTCCAGTTCTGTGTATTCGCTGACTTATTTCATTTATATTTATCCATTATTATTTATTTTTTACTCTCTTTCTCTTGACCTTCTGCCTCTTTATGAGAGTATGTACATTTGTAGTTTTTGATATCATTGATGAACTCAACGGGCCAAATGGTCTTGCAAGAGCAATGGAATAAATATTATTATTATTATTATTATTACGAGGAGCAGGATTGACGTGCTTGCCCAAAACTCCCACAGAGCTCCATGACAGGTTTTCCAAGGCATTTATCGACGTGAAAAAGTCAAATGCGTCACTGTGCTGGACCTTGAACTTGAAGAAACATGTTAGACACATGGAAAGTCAAATGCAACAGGCGCATACCATGCACGTGCCTGGGGACTGCTTTCTCGTTGCATTTCCACAACGCGCGGCTCCAGATCAGGGCCGGATTAAGAAGTTGCGAGGCCCAGGGCAAGTGGATTCTTAGGGCTAACTCACTTTACGCAAACAGTTAACGTTTTTAATTTCCTTCGGGGGCCTCCCTGGAAGAGTGGGGCCCGGGACAACAGCCCCTTTTGCCCCCCCCCCCCCCCCCCCCCCCCCCCCCCCCCCCCCTCCTACACCCCCTTTTGCCCCCCCCCCCCCCCCCCCTTAATCCGGTCCTGCTCCAGATGCGTTTTGCATGTGGCGCTACTATTGCAATTAGTCTTATTTGGCAACCTTTGATGCCAGATTAAGAAGAATGAAAACTATCGATCGCAAGTATAGGTTTTTCGACCCCTACGATGATGTATGAGAGTCAAATGCGACATGGAAATTCAAATTCGATACTGCCCTGCATGGTAGTCAAAAGCGACTTGAGATAAATCAGATGAAGCATGCTTGTCGTATGCTGGACATTGAAAATATACGTATTTCGGAAAATGTCGTGAAAAGCAATGGCTTAGCCGCTTACATAATAATGTCTCTCAATTCCAGACACATGGTGTATGATTGTGCCTGCAGGAACCATTGGTTACATGTTTCAGGCGTGATGACAGTAATGGCTTGATGTCCCAACCTCGAAAGGATGGTCAGGCGATACTGGTCAAGGTCCATCTCCAACTAAGTCACTTTTTTAAAAAAATCTGTTCTTTACTCTATACCAGCTGTTCTTTCACCCTTTCTTTCCTGTGACACTTGAAGGAATCTATTCTAATGCTGTATTTGAATTTCCACCTTGCACTTGACTTTCTCATGTCCACATTTCACTTGGAAAACCAGTATGTTGCACTTTTTTAGGGAATTCTAAAACCTTCTTCCCCATCTATTCTTTCATAATCGGAATCTAGCCTTTCACTCGCAAGTTTTGGTGATAACCCATTCCTAGGACTAATCCTGTCGTATCGATGGTTGGCAAATAAGAGTAATTGCGATAGCAGTGCCACACGCAAATGCATCTGGAGCAGAGCGTTGTTGAAATGTAACGAGAAGGGAGTTCCCTGGCATCGACATGGCATATGCCAGACGCATTTAACATTTCATGTGTCGAGCATCATCATCATCATCGTTTTTATTTTCCATAAAGGAATTTTGGGGTTACAGTGACCGTGGGTACAGCACGTTTTTCTTTTAAGTACAACATCCAGCACAGCGACGCATTCGATTTTCCTTTTGAACTTTCCATTTGACTTTATTATTTCCACATTTAACCCGGAAAACTTATGTAAGTAAATGTATCGCTGGAAACATTACCAGATCCCACATAAGTTAGTTTTATATTATCAAATTAATAGCTAGAGATTTACACGTATGAGTGCTATGTCAGAACATAATTTTGTTCATGATATTCATGCCAAAGCCAAAGACCCTTCGCAATGAAAAAATGCAAGCTTTTTATCTGAATTTTTTGCTTTCATTGAGATTCTATTCAGATTCACTGGCAGCACTTGCGTCACTGCTGATGTTTGGCCGGCTCAGTTAACTCTTGATACCATGCATTGTTGCCAATTGTCTGATGCCAAACGTTAGCTCAAATTTAATGAAAATATTCACATGTAAACCTTAGTCAATAAGTGTTCACATGAAATACTACAAAGCTGTGAGAATGCAACAGGAAACTGTTGAAAATTCATTAGTTTGTACACATGTGTGGGCACGGAGAATCAGAGTTAATGGTATTTCTATAACCTAGAACCGGTCAAGGAGCGACTTGCTATCGATGCGAAGAATAATCCAAAGGCTTTTTTTATCAATACACTAGCGGCAGGAGTCAACATTCGATCGGTCTTCCAAGGACAACAAAGGGAGGGCGGGGATGGGGGGGGGGGGGCGCCAGTTAGGAACAGCGGAGGCATGGCTGGGATTTCGAATGATTGCCTTTTGTCTTCACGAGCGAACCCGATGGCATACCGACAATGATCAAGGTCACCTCGGCGTGTTTCGAGGATATCGTCATCATCGACAGATCGCGAGTAGGATTGGGAAGTTAAAGGTAGGAAAGGCAACCGGTCCCGATAGGATCCCAGCTCGTGTCACGAAGGAACTCGATAGGGAAGTATCAGTACCTAGCGGCTGACTTGAGCTGAGTGTCCGGATCTCTGTCTTGGTAACTCGAAATAATACAGGAACTCGACTCCTGTTCCTCGATGTCTTCCTTGTTATCTTACGCTTCATAGTTTCAAAATATTAGACCAGATACCAACGGTGCTATTGCATGTGCCCAAAAATCGAGATTAGAGTTTAAAAATTGGCAAAAAAATGTGGGTCTCTTCGGACCCCCTACTTCCATACGATGTGTGCATACAATGAACTCCGATATACCATTTTCTAGAACTAAAGCACTATTGATCCCATTAAGAATCACGCTCAAGAATAGCATTTTGGGTGAAGAAGTGGCTATGGATTAGAAATTAGCGAACATCGAACCCATCTTTAAGAAGGGAGATAAGAACAATCCAGGGAATCACAGAGCATCGAGTCTCACGAGCATTCCGAGAAAGATAATGGAGAGTATGAC